GGAGGAGGAGGACAAGAAGAATAAAAAGAATGAGGAGGAGGAGAAAGAAGAGGAGGAGGGAGGAAGGAAGGAAGGAAGAAGTAGAATCAGAAGAATGAAAAGAAGGAGGAAGAGGAAGGAGGAGTAGGAGGAGGAAGAGGAGGACAAGAAGAAGTAAGTTAAGTCAATCGTTATGATACCTGGAAGAGTTGCTAGCCATGGTCCTAGATTTGTAGGTTCTAAACACCTTGGAGACACATGTGGTCACTTGGATGCAGTTAGAATGTGAAAAATTCCAGAGTGGACCATCCAAAGTCATGTGACAGTGGGGTTTGTGGAGTGATCATTGGAACATCAGATCTGGGTGGTAAGTCCTTTTTCTGGGGTTGGTTGTAACTTTGAATAGTTGTTAAATGGCCATTCATAAGTTGAGGACCATCTGTATACAGGTAGTCCTTGATTTGCAACAGTTCATTTAGTGACCATTTGAAGTAACAAGAGCTCTGAAAAAAGTGACTGATGAATGTTTTTCATGTTGTGGCATCCCTATAGTCACGTGATCAAAATTCAGATGCTTGGCAAGTGGTACATATTTATGACAGTCGCAGCGTCCCAGGGATCACATGACCCCCTTTTGCGACCTTCTGACAAGCAAACTCAAAAAGGAAACCAGATTCACTTAACAACCGTCTCACTCATGTAACAGCTGCAGTGATTCACTTAATGACTGGGGCAAGAAAGGTGGTAAAACGGGGCAAAAACTCACATCGCAAATGATATCTCACTTAGCAACAGACATTTGGGGCTCAATTGTGGTCGTACGTCGAGGACAACCTGTGGTCCCGTAACCTCCCCGAAGAGTTGGAGGATTGCCCACATCATAACATTCCCCCACCCAGAATGCTCTGCTCTTTTTCTCCCATGCTCCCCAACATACTTTGTCAAAGTTCCTTTGCTTCTTGTCCAGGGCAGCTGCGGCCGCGTTTGAGCGCTCCACATCCACCATCAGATCTTCAATCTCGTTCTGCAGGCGGTGTTTCGTCTTCTCCAGCGACGAACACTTGGCGTTCACCGCCTCCACGGCTTCCTCCGCCTCCTGCAGCCGCTGAGCCAGCTTCTTCCTGATTAGGTGAGAAGACGTCCCAATGAGTTGGCCCCACCCTCAAAGCTATGAAGACGTCATCCGGGATGGGACACCCACGCTAAATTGGGAGGTAAGTTCAGGGGTAGGATTCAGCTCGTTCGGGCTGGTTCGGACGAACCGGGTGTTAAATTTACATCTGGTTTGCTGAACTGGTAGTTGAACCGACTGGCTGGCCCCACCCACCCCGCCTCACCTCTCCCAGGAATCTCCATGCGGCCCGTTTTGGATAAAGGTAAGTGCAAGGTCTGCGTGGAGGCTCTGGGAGGGCGAAAAACAGCCGAACTGGAAGTTCTGGAAGTCCAGAAACGGGCTTGTTCCGGCGCCCATTTTCATCCTCCCAGAGGCCCGAGGGAAGCCTCCAGACTGAGGAAGGCGAAAAACAGCCCTCCTGGAAGTTCTGGTAGGCCACACCCACTATGGCCACGCCCACCCAGTAACTGGGGCGAGAACTGGTTGTTGGGATTTTTGAATCCCGCCCTTGGGATTCAAATTCCACCATTTTAGCATTTAGGGGTCAACTCAAAACTAACCAGCTTCTGAGGGAAAGTGAAAGTGAGGAAGGAAAGATGGGGTGGAAGGAAGCCATCTTGGATGTAGAGGGACAAAATGAGTTGGAGAGGGACGAGGAGGAAAATCAGGATGAGGAGAAGACCACTCAGGTGAGGGTTCTTCTCAGGGGACATGGATGAAGGTGATGAAGGCACTCACTTGGCCTCCTCCAGCTCCTCCGTTCTCTGGATAGCGTCGGTTTCATACTTGGTTCTCCACTGGGCCACCTCAGAGTTGGCCTTGGAGAGTGAACGCTGGAGCTCAGCTTTGGCCTCTGTTTCTTCCTCATACTGTTCCCTCAGAAGGTCACAGTCGTGGCGGGCGGACTGCAGCGCGTGGGCCAAAGCATTTTTGGCCTAGAGGTGGAGAAAAATGGAGATGCAACGTCAGTGTCCTGTTCTTGGCCTAGCTAGCTCCATCTCCCTCGTGACCCCTCAGCCTCCATGTGTCCCATGCCTTCGCTTCTTCTTCAAGTTGCCTCTTCAGATCTTCTAGCTGTTGGGTATATGTCAACTTCCCTCGAGTCAGCTGGCTGATCAAAGCTTCCTTCTCATCCAACTGGCGGGACAATTCACCTGGAATAAAAAAAACAAGAATGATCGAAGGTCTCACCAGAAGATTTGATCAGTGGTGGAAATTGGTTACAGGTAGGTAGTCCTCATGTTAGGCCCATAAGGGAGCCTGCCTATCATTGGTCACTGATCTATAAAAAGATGTTGAGACTCTGGAAAGAGTGCAAAGAAGAGCAACCAGGATGATGAGGGGACTGGAGACTAAAACATATGAAGAACGGTTGCAGGAACTGGGCCTGGCTAGTCTAGAGAAGAGAAGGACCAGGGGAGATAGGATAGCCGTCTTCCAATATTTGAGGGGCTGCCCCAGAGAGAAGGAAGGGGTCAAGCTATTTTCCAAAGCACCTGAAGGCCAGACAAGGAATAATGGATGGACACTGATCCAGGAGAGATTCAACCTGGAAATAAGGAGACATTTTCTGACAGTGAGAACAATCAACCCATGGAATAGAAGTTGCCTTTAAAAGTGGTGGGAGCTTCATCCTTGGAGGCTTTCAAGAAGAGACTGGGCTGCCATCTGTCAGAAATTCTGTAGGGTCTCCTGTTTGGGCAGGGGGTTGGATTAGATGACCTAACAAGGTCCCTTACAACTCTGATAATCTGTAATCTATAATCTATCATGGTGGAAACTCGTAATGATCATAAGACAGGTTGGTCTCATCGCTGACTTGATTTTATTTTATTTTTTGCAGTGGTTGTTAAGAGAAACACTGGTCGTTAAGTGAATCCGTGGCATTAAGCGAACGTCATGGTCATTAAGTGAACCAATGGCTTGGTATGAGACGGTTTTGCCAAAATCTGAAAGCAAATGCCAAGTTTGGGTGGAAATTGTTATAAAACATGGCCACAGGATTGTGGGGTGGTGAAAATGACCGCCAATGGATCATGGTTGTTGAGTGACCACCGTGGCGAGAGTGACCATTAGAACTTCAAACCCAGGTTGGTGGTGTCTTTCAAAACTTTGAATGGTTGCCGAACAACTGTACTAGCTGTATTCAGGTAAGTTATTCCTCAGGTTTAGTATCTTCAAAAAAGATCGTGAAAATGTGTTGGTCAAAGTAGATAATTTTGGAAAAAGAAGACCAAGAGAACAATTGGAGTTCTTAAGGAGAAGGGTGTAGAGTTCTCCCATTACTTACCATTCTCGGTTTGGAGCTTGGCTCGCTGCGTGGTGAGGTCATGGACCATACGCTGAGACTCTTCAGACTTGGCCCGGTGCTCGTTCATTTGGTCTTCAAAAGTCCGACACATCTTCTCCAGGTTGCCCTAGATTTCCAGAAGGAGAAGACATGGTGAAAAAAACTAGAGAAATAGCAATAGTCCTTAGACTTATACAACACTTCACAGCGCTTTACAGTCCTCTCTAAGCGGTTTACAGAGTCAGCCTCTTGCTCCCAATAACCTGGGTCCTCATTTTACCAACCTCGGAAGGATGGAAGGCTGAGTCAACCTGGAGCCTGGTGAGATTCGATCTGCCAAATTGCAGGCAGCGGCAGTCAACAGTAGCCTACAGTACTCCACTCTAACCACTGCGCCACCGCAGAAACAGATTTAAATAAGGGATGAATGGAAGGAAGGAAGGAAGGAAGGAAGGAAGGAAGGAAGGAAGGAAGGAAGGAAGGAAGGAAGGAAGGAAGGAAGGAAGGAAGGAGGGATGGGTAGATGATAGGTAGATTGATTGGATGGATGGGTGGATGGATGGATGGATGGAAAGATGGATGAGTGGGTTGATGGATGGATGGATGGATGGAAGGAAGGAAGGAAGGATGGGTGGGTGGGTGGGTGGATGGAAGGAAGGAAGGAAGGAAGGAAGGAAGGAAGAAAGGATGGGTGGATGGATGGATAGAAAGATATACGAGAGGATGGATGAATGGTTGGTTGGTTGGTTGGATGGATGGATGGATGGATGGATGGATGGATGGATGGATGGAAGGAAGGAAAGAAGGAAGGATGGATGGATGGACGGATGGATGGAAAAACAAGTCTTTTTGTCTTGACATATCCTATCATCCTTGCAATCATGTTGTGCTGGTTGAGGATGATGGAAGTTACCACCATGACATATCAAAAATAAATGAAGTACAATGGAATCACAAATTCAAGGAAAAAGAAAACAGAAGGAAGGCTGAATAAAGTTCAAATGGCTAAGAACCAAAAAATTGAGAAGAAGATCCCATTCAGATGTAGGAACAATTCATGTTCTCCTCATCTTTTGGGCCCTTCCCCCTTTCCAAATTAATTGTTACTGTGACTCCTGATCCATCCTCAGAGCCCAACCTTGTCCACAAATCTGGATTTCCCCCACCCACACACTTCTAAGGGGCGGCTCCAATGAGGGTCCCACCACCTCTTCATTAAGGTCGGACCTTGGCCTTCATGAGCTGCTCCATGTTGGAAGCCATGTCGTCTACTTCTAGCTTCAGCTCGCTCTTCTCCTTCTCCAGCTTCTGCTTCACCCGCTGCAGGTTGTCAATCTGCTCGCCCAGCTCCGCCACGGAATCCGCGTGCTTCTTGCGCAAGGAGGCCGCCGTGGCCTCATGCTGCAGCGTGGCCTCTTCCAGGTCGCGTCGCATCTTCTGGAACTCGGCCTCGCGCTTCTTGTTCATCTCGATCTGCACCGAGGTGGCCCCTCCGGCCTCCTCCAGGCGCTCGCTGATCTCTTCCAGTTCTCGTGAAAGGTCCGAGCGCTGTTTCTCCACCTTGGCGCGGGCTGTGCGCTCTGCTTCTAATTCTTCCTCCAGTTCCTCGATCCGTGCCTGTGTCAGGGAAAAGGAGGCCATGAATCAGAGGTGGCATTCAGCCAGTTTGTGCCGGTTCTGGAGAACCGGTAGCGGAAATTTTGAGTAGTTGGGGGAACTGGCAAATACCACCTCTAACTGGCCCTGCCCCCATCTATTCTCTGCTTCCTGAATCCAAGCTGATCGGCTCGGTCTTCTTTTGTTGCCCTACCCAGGAGAACGGAGCTGGAAAGCAGGTTAGTCGGGTGGAGAGGGATGGATTTTGCAGTATCTTTCCCCTGCCATGCCCACCAAGTCTCGCCCACTAAGCCACACCCACAGAACCAGTAGTAAAAAAAAATTGAATAGCACCACTGCCATGAATGGGTCGAAGAGTGGACTTAATCTGAACTAATTTAGACTCATAATTAATCTGACATCTGCAGATGGCCAAACAAAACCCTAAGATCCTAAGAGTTTCTAGAGAAAGACATTGGAAACGCAAAAAAAAAAAAAAATGTCTTGGAGAACCAATGATTTAGGTAGAACCCAACTAGATTCGATGTTCTCAACTATTTCAGTCCGTGAGAACATTATGGTTTTTGTATCATGGCTATTGATTAGTGAAACCAAGAGCGGTACCAGGGGAGAACGTTGGTACTTGTGGAAAGACACAATATGTTGGACATTCTAGACCTTGTCCAACAAATGCTGTTTTCTAGTTATGATCTAGATCCTTTTTTTGTTTGTTTTTTGAGAAACCACACCAACGTAGAATTGGACTTTGTACCTGTAACTCTTTGAGTTTCTTCTGTAACTGGGCAGCCAAGGATTGCTCATCTTCGATTCTAGCATTCAAGGCACTCAACTCAAAATCTTTCCTGTGGATCAGGAAGGAGAACCAGGTTGGATCCAGCGGTAAAGAGGTGGACAGCAGCGCGCACCTCCCTAACTAGGTATTAGAAGGATGAGGCACCTACTTTTTCAGCTTTTCGTCAAGTTGTTGCTTGTCGTTCTCCAAATCCATGATGCTTTCTTGGGCCAACTTCAAGTCTCCTTCCAGCTTCCTCTTGGCCCTCTCAAGGTCCATGCGGATCTTCTTCTCCTGTTCCAAGGACCCTTCCAGCTGTCAGGCCAAGAAAAACCAAATCAGCTAGGTCAATTCTGTAGGGATTGGACTAGAAGAACTTTGACGTGCCTTCCAGCCCCGTGGTTCTATGTTCTACGTTCTAGCATCTTCTCACCAGGAAATTTTCTCTAGGAAAACATGGAACGGGCAAAATTTCTGGCACCCCATGTTTGGTGTACTTACATCATCCACCTGTTGTTCCAGTTTGACCTTGGCTTTGGTCAACGTGTTGACCTTGTCTTCTTCAGCTTGAAGGTCATCCAGAGCTTGCTGGTGGGCCTCTTGGAGAGCCTTCTTCTCTTTGGTTAGCTTGGCGATGATCTCATCCAAACCAGCCATTTCTTCGGTGAGGTTCTTCACCTGCGGTCACATCATAATATAGGGTCAACTTGTAAAACATTCCTATGCAGGTTTCCAAGTTGACATAAGAAAGAAGGGGTGGCGGGGGGAGGAAAAACCCCGAAGGAGCATACGGGAAATGAACTCAGAAGCACATTCCAAGCTTATCTCACAAAGGTTGTAACTGAGGCTACCGGCTATTCTGGGCCCAAAAATCCTCTATTGGAGAGCGTGATTGATGACACCGAGCCATGAACGTTTCTGTTGGGCAATCTGAATTTTGATAAATCCAGAGGGGTGGGAGGAAACAGGGTCATGGGTGATTATAAATTACATATCTCAGAGTAGGCTTCATACAGGTCATGCCAGTATGTTATAATCCTTTGAAGTTTTTTGAAGTTTGGCTCGAGGTTCATGATTTAATTAGGGCGATCTCTGGAATCCTGACAGTAAGCCGACATCAGCTGCCTGGACCTATCAAAACTCAAACCTTGGCGGACCCCTGAAGATCTGGCGACTTAGTTACGCAAGTCACATCTAACAGTGGAGGTTTCAGATCAGTGGATTGTGTCTCTCACAATCCACAACTCTTTAAGGAAGAAGGAAACCTTGTTACTTTGCTGCTTAAATACAAGGCATTAAAGTTGGTTAAGTGTCTTTTGTTCATCAGCTGGAATAAATAATACTGTGTCAGGCAACTAATGGACGAAACATGATGTAGGGCAGCTATTTGTGCATGTGTGAGACTGTGTGTGCAAACTTGCAGATATTCCTAATTGTGGGATCTTTGGTGCTCTCTGAGCTTGGTTGTTTTCCCCACAGACATTTCATGACCCAACTAGGTAACATCATCAGCACTAGAAGGGAGGTGGGTTTGCTCTCTTTATAAAGAGAGCAAGCCACCTCCCTTCTACCACTGATGATGTTCTCTAATTGGGTCATGAAATGTCTGGAGGAAAATAACCAAGCTTAGAAAATATTAGGAAAATAACCAAGCTCTTCCTCCTCTCCACAAACCCATTCCCTTCTAGCACTGATGAAGTTGTCTAGTTGGGTAATGAAGCGTCTACAAGGAAAAGAACCAAGCTCAGAGAGCACCAAGGACCCCACATTCCTCCTCTTCCTCTCCTCCTTCTTCTTCCACATCTTCCCCACCCAGATCAATATTTCCATGAATGATGGCCCCAACCAATATTTCTGATATCCCTTTGGCTACCTAACAGATTTCAGATTCCATGCCACGTCAAATCCATTCTTACCTTGTTCTCCGTGGCATGCTTCTCCTTCTCCACCTTGGCCAAGGTCAACTCCAGGTCATCAATATCTTTCTTGAGTTCAGAACATTCATCTTCCAGCTTCCGCTTCTTGGCAGTCAGTTCGGCGTTCATCTCCTCTTCGTCTTCAAGACGTTCGGTCAACTCTTTCACCTTGGCTTCCAACTGGATCTTGTTCTTGATCAACTGGTCGCAACGTTCCTCAGCATCTGCAAGATTGTCTTGCTCCTAAAGAGGGAAGAAAGAGAGATGGACAATTGACTCACACCTGAGTATGGAATTTCTCGAACCTTGGCCACTTTAAGACGAGCGGAATTCTACGCTGGCTGGAGAATCCTGGGAGTTGAAGTCCACCAAAGTGGCTAAAGTTGAGAAACGTTGCCTTAGTGCTTTGATGGTCATGTGGAGTCAACATTGTTCTTAACTTAACATGACCAACCTAGGCATGAGGAGTTACTTACTGCCTGAACTTGCAATTGCAGGTCATTCTTCTCCTGCAGTAAGGACACCATCTTCTCCTCCAGCTCCTTCCGACGGGCTTCTGACTTCTCCAAGGCCTCTTTCAACTTGGCCAACTCGTCCTTCATAGCCACCAGCTCTTTCTCCGTCTCTGCGCTCTTCAGCAAAGGTTTGATCTTGAAGTACAACTTCATCCAGGGCCAGTTCTTCACCACCATGAAAGCCCGGATGTTGTACTGGATCACCAGCAGAGATTCCCTGCAAAATAAGTAGAGGAGAGAACCGTCAGGCTAAAGGATCACGGACCTCGGTTTCATAGGTTTTCCCACACTCTCATGATGTTACCTAGTGTGGTAACGAGACGTCTGCAAGAAAACAGCCAAGTTTGGAGAACCTCAAGAACCCAATCATTCAAGCTGAGCTGCAGATCTTCTCTGTTCCGTAAACATTACGGAAGTCTGATTTAGGCAGACAAGAATCTATTTCATACGTTCAAATCTGGGATATACCTCTTTCTTCTGATAAATCTGGAAGCTACTTCAAAATAAGGAGTAGCTTCCTTATCCTTGTGTCTCCTCAATTGGGAAGAGCCAGAAGTTGGTGGACCAAGCCCTCCCTTCATCCATTCACCTTCTCCAAATCATGACGAAGCCACCACATTTAGGAACTAAGGCAGGGCTGGGCTGCTATTGGTTCACTACCCGGTTCTAGTGAACCGGTAGCGAACCGGTAGCTAATTTTATGGCCAGTTCGGCGAACTGACAAATCCCACCCCTGGCTGGCCCTGCCCATGCCACCTCTCCAGCCCATTTTGGATCCCAGGTAAGTACAGGGCCTCTGGGGCCCGGGGAGGCCATTTTGCATCCTCCTGGAGGCTCAAGAAAATACTATGGAGCCAGGAAGGGTGAAAAACAGGCCTCTCAGATGTTCCAGAAGCCTCCGGAGTCTGGGGAGGCCGTTTTTGTCCTCCCAGAGGCTCGAGGAAAACATCCGGAGCTCGGGGAGAGCGAAAATGACCCCCTCATGGTGCAGGAGGCTGATTAGGCCACACCCACTACGGCCATGCCCACCCAGCAGCTGGGCGTGATTGCCAACATTTTTGAAGCGCACCCCTGAACCCAGCCCACAACAGCAGAAGTGGATCTGTGTTTGAACCAAGATGAGTGAGGGGACCCAGGGATAGTCACAGGAGGTCTTTGCGGAGAGTTAACCGCCAAAAAAGGACCTCCTTCAGAGGAAAGAGCCACACCAGGAAGGACCACCAATGGACTTACTTCCGTTCCATGATCTTCCTGAATTCTATCCTGGCCAGCACACCACGGGATTGAGCTTGGATGCGAGTGATGATCCGGGAGAGACGCTCATCTCTCATTTCCTCCAAGAGTCCCAGGAGACCAGCTTTGAAGAACACCTGGAGGGAAGCAGATTAGAAACACAGAACATTCAATTAGAACCTAAGGCTGGATTTTTGTTGTTGTTGGGAATAATAAAAGGTGAAATCGCACAAAGAAATCAAATATTTAATTTTACATATAATAACCACAGCAAGGATGTGGAATGTTGCTCAGTGTTGGAAGGGAGATCAGATGCCAACAGATAATTTCATAATCCAGAAGATCTACAACTGCGCGGAAATGGATAAACTCACCCAAAATTTAAAAGATAAGGAAGACTCAAAATATTTTACAGTTTGGGAAAACGGATATAATTGGATATAAGGATAGAAATCTGTCAGTAAACAGATAGGCAAGGGAAAATATGAAGAGGTCATGATAGGAATATATACCAGATATAGGAACTAAGTATTGGAAAACTGTTTGATTAAAAACACACCGTCTAAGCAATTAGAAATGCTTGTGTTTTTTACGTTTATTGGTTATGTATAACTTTTTGGTTTCGTATTTTATGAAATGTTTTGTATCATGTATATATTTTTTAATGTTGAATAAAGTTTATTTTTTAAAAAAAAGAACATACAACTTACAACATTGACTAGTAGGTCCCCAAGGTGCCTTTTTTTTTTTTCAAGGGCCAACTGGAAAGAACTGGACTTTCTGTTTTTTCTTTGAAGACGTTTCGCTTCGCATCCAAGAAGCTTCTTCGGCTCTGACTGGATCCTTCCATTCCCCGCCATCCAGTCAGAGCCTATGAAGCTTCTGGGCTAAGAAGCGAAACGTCTTCAAGGAAAAATCCAGAAAGTCCAGTTGCTTCTTGAAAAAAGCACCTTTGCAACAACCATGATTTGGATGATTAAGAATCTCCATAGATATTTAGCTATTGAATAACAGGGACCTTAGAGGGCTTCTGGTTCAACCTGCTACTCATGGCAAGGAGATCCTATATGATTCCGGACTTTCTTTTGGTGTGATGGGATGGCTGCATAAAAAGAATAACAGAACAACAGAACAGAATAATCAAGGGACGCTGGAGGTTCTCCGGTCCAACCTCCCACCCAAGCAGGAGAAATAACAGAATAATGGGGTTGGAAGGGATCTTGGAGATCATCTAGTCCAACCCCCTGTTCAAGCAGGAAGCCCTATACCATGTCAGACAAATGGCTGTCTAATCTCTTCTCAAAAACATCCAGTGATGGAGCACCCACAACCTCTGGTGGCAAGCAGTTCCATTGTCCTCACTGTTAGAGAGTTTCTTTTTAATTCCAGGTTGCTTCTCTCCTTGATGAGTTTCCATCCGTTGCTTCTTGTCCTTCCGTGGCTTCCGAGAACAGGTTGACCCCCCTCTTCTTTGGGGCAGCCCCTCAAATGTTGGAACTCTATCATGTCATCTTCCTTAAATGAGATGCACCCCAGGGGTGTCAAACTCAAGGAAACTTCAGGGCCAGCGTGGCTTCGGCCCAGTCTACCCAGTGCAAAGAGCAAACATGCCAGTAGTTTGGAGTGGGGTCAAGATGGCCACGCCCACCGCATTGGCCACACCTGCACGGTCAGCCAAGCCTGCCTGCCCCCACCCGAGGTCAAGCACAGCCCAGATGCAGCCCTCAATGAAATTGAGTGACATCCCTGACGTATCCAATTCCTGCAGCCATCTTCTTTCTTTTAATGACCCCATAAATCCCTTGCACGC